CCCCCCCCCCCCCCCCCCTTACACGACGTGTCTCCACAGGTCACGAGACCAAAGCCATGCTGAACAACAACGGGCCGCGCTACAAGCGCAGCAAGCTGGAGCGTCAGATGAACGTGGACGTGTTCTGGTGCGTCATCATCCTGCTGGTCATGTGTCTGTTCACTGCCGTCGGTGAGTTAACGGCTTCATTAAAGTCTTTCAAACATCTCCTCTGAGGTGTGTTAGACCTTCTGGTGTTGGTGTTCCAGGTCACGGGTTGTGGATGTTTCAGTATGGAGAGAAGAGGCCTGTGTTTGATGTCCTCGGTCCGGAGGGGACGGACTTATCTCCCGTCATGTCGGCCGTTTATCTCTTCCTCACCATGATCATCGTCTTTCAGGTGAGGAGCCGGAGAGAAGCAGCAAATCACAGCTGTATTTACTTCACAGCTTTATCCTCACATTTAACCTGGAAGAGCAGAGAAGAAGTCCTCTTCATCAGAACACTGAACACGACACCTGAAAGCTCTGTTTTTATTTACATGTCAGTGACAATGTCAGTGTGTCACAGCAGCTGATCTCAGGTTACCTCAGCTCTACATGAGGAGTGAGTGCAGAGAGACAGACAGACAGACATGTAGGCAGACAGACATGCAGGCAGACAGACATGCAGGCAGACAGACATGCAGGCAGACAGACATGCAGGCAGACATGCAGGCAGACATGCAGACAGACATGCAGGCAGACAGACATGCAGGCAGACATGCAGGCAGACATGCAGACAGACATGTAGGCAGACAGACATGTAGGCAGACAGACATGTAGGCAGACAGACATGCAGGCAGACAGACATGTAGGCAGACAGACATGCAGACAGACATGCAGTCAGACAGACAGACATGCAGACAGACATGCAGACAGACAGACAGACATGCAGTCAGACATGCAGTCAGACAGACAGACATGCAGTCAGACAGACAGACAGACAGACAGACATGCAGTCAGACATGCAGTCAGACAGACAGACAGTCAGACAGACAGACATGCAGTCAGACAGACATGCAGTCAGACAGACAGACAGACAGACAGACATGCAGTCAGACAGACAGACAGACATGCAGACAGACAGACATGCAGACAGACAGACATGCAGTCAGACAGACAGACATGCAGTCAGACAGACAGACATGCAGTCAGACAGACAGACATGCAGACAGACAGACAGACAGACAGACATGCAGACAGACAGACATGCAGACAGACAGACATGCAGACAGACAGACATGCAGACAGACAGACATGCAGTCAGACAGACATGCAGACAGACATGCAGTCAGACAGACATGCAGTCAGACAGACAGACATGCAGTCAGACAGACAGACATGCAGTCAGACAGACAGACATGCAGACAGACAGACAGACAGACAGACATGCAGACAGACAGACATGCAGACAGACAGACATGCAGACAGACAGACATGCAGACAGACAGACATGCAGTCAGACAGACATGCAGACAGACATGCAGTCAGACAGACAGACATGCAGTCAGACAGACAGACAGACAGACATGCAGACAGACAGACAGACATGCAGTCAGACAGACAGACAGACATGCAGTCAGACAGACAGACAGACATGCAGACAGACAGACAGACAGACATGCAGACAGACATGCAGACAGACATGCAGTCAGACATGCAGTCAGACAGACATGCAGTCAGACAGACATGCAGTCAGACAGACAGACATGCAGTCAGACAGACAGACATGCAGTCAGACAGACAGACATGCAGACAGACAGACATGCAGACAGACAGACATGCAGACATGTAGACAGACGGACATGTAGACAGACATGCAGTCAGACAGACAGACGGACATGTAGACAGACATGCAGTCAGACAGACAGAC